TTAACAACTTCACCCCAATAGTGTTTAGGTATATTCATGTCAAAGAGAGAAGCGCGGACTATCTCCAATAATTGTCGATTTTTTCTCTCAGCCAAACCATTCTGTTGAGGGGTGTAAGGACATGAGGACTGGTTTCGTATGGCATGAGACAAAAGAAATTGGGTAAAGGTACTGTTTTTATATTCGGTGCCATTAACAGATTGAAGGACTTGAATAGAGGTCTGGTATTGGGTGTGAACCATGTTATAGAAATGCTGGAAAGCCAAAAAAAACTTCTTTTTTATGTTTCAACAATACAACCCAAGTCATGCGAGTACATTCATTAATAAAGGTGACATAATAGAGACATTTGGAAAAAGAAGGTACTTTTGCAGGACCCCAGACATCAGAGTGTATTACTTGAAAAGGAATAGAGCTTTTATTGATACTAGGCAAAAAAAGGAATACGATGGCTTTTGGCCAATTCATAAATGTTACACTGAAATTTTGCATCATTTAAAGCAACAAACAAAGTGGGAAATAACTTGCGAAGGTAACCAAAGGAAAAGTGGCCTAATCTTCTGTGCCAGAGCCAAATAGAGTCCCTAGCTTTATCAGAGCTGGTAGCAGCAGAGGCGCGAGCCAATTGATGTGCACTCTTCTGTGGAACCTCCAAGACATATAGCTGATCACGTCTAACACCATAGCCAAGTACCATCCAAGTGAGGATGTCCTGAAAAACACAAAAAGTAGGTCAAAAAGTCGCAGAGCAATTAAGTGTGGAGGTGAGCTGACTAACATATAAGAGGTTGAAATCAAGAGAAGGAACAATAAGGACAGAGTGAAGAGAGAGCGTATCAGATAATGAAATAAAACCTTGACCAGTAACCGGCGAGGTTCCACCATTGGCAGTGGAGATGAAAGACTTGGTTGAGGGACCAACATTAGATAACTGGGTAGGATCCCGAATCATATGATTTGAAGCTCCTGTATCAATGATCCAGTTAGAATTCCCAGATAATGTAGAGAGAGCCTGAGGCTTACCCAAGATACTGGTAGAAGCAACATTGGCAGAAGGAGGAGGGTCTGCGACAGCATCAATCAAACCCTTGCCAGGGACTTTCTTGCGTGGTTTCTTGGTGAAATCCCACCAATCCGGATAACCAATTAGTTCAAAACAGCGTTGTTGAGAGTGACCTTTCTCACCACAATGAGAGCAGGTGTACGAAGGCTTGTCGTTACGGTTGCGGCCAGAAGATGGAGAAGGTCCTGAGCGAGGTGGATGTGTGAGAAGGGCAGCACCATCACTGGGCTTAGGATATCCCATAGTATGATGTTGTTGAGCTTCTCTTCGGAGATAGGCATAAGAACTTTCAAGATCCAATTTGGGATCTTTGCGTAGAATCTCACCACGAACCTGATCAAAATCGACATCAAGACCACTAAAGAAAATATGACCCCTGAGACGGGTCATAGCCGAATGAAGATGAAGAACGCCATCAACCGTTGTGGACTCTGGAGAAAGACGATGATCAATCTCCTGGAAAATGGATAACAATTCATTGTAGTACACAGAGAGTGGCCGACCCATTTGTTTGGTGTTGAAGGATCATTGGTTGAGTTCAAAGAGACATGTCTCGTCAGAGCCATCATAGAAGGTTTTCTTTGTAGCATCCCAGATTTCTTTGGCAGTCTCGAGATGAAGAAAGCGTTGCATAAGAGGTGGGCTCATGGAGTCAATAAGCCAACTCTTGACTCGTTTTTTGTCAGTAACCCAAGCATCATATGTAGGATCAGTGACATTCAGTTTCAGATTAGCATCGATAAGAAACCCAACTTTGTTGCGGGCACCAATACGCATATCGAGAAGTTGAGACCATAAGGAATAGTTGGTATCATCAAGGACAATGGTAATAGGGAGGGATGAATGATCTTGTTGGAGAATAATGTTTTGGGGAACATAAGGGTGGTTGGAATTTTCAGAAGCAGAGTTGGCCGTTGAAGAAGAACAGGAACAATAACGAATACAGTTAAAAAATGGCGTATAAAAGAAGAGGATGTGATATGAGTGGGTGGGTTCAAAAAAAAAAAATTATGATGATTCGGGGCTTCACACTTAGAAAGGATCAGAACCTTGCTTCATACCATGTCAATAAGTAAATACACATAAACTGAGATAATATTTTCTTGCATTCTTTTTCTACGATTGAGATCTCTATATACATATATACCTAGCACTTAAATTGTTGTAAACATTTTGAATTTGTAAATATCCTTTTAACGTCTATTCTAACTTTGAATTTACAACATATAACGGAAAAATTAAATTACAACTTTATTACAGAAACGTATAACGGAAAGATTAATTGAGAATAGATTTGAATTCAAACTTTGAATTCAAATTTCAATTCAACAGATACCGATGACCAGTTGCAATTATGTGGTCTGATTAATGGTGGTGGTGGTTAGTGCCTTATAGTTGCGGGTGGTGGTAGCTAGTGATAATGTTGGTGGCTGGTAGCTCTTTGCGATGGCTGGTAGCAGTGGTGGTGGCTAGCCAATGGATGGTGAAGGCGGTAATAGGGGGTAGAGGTGGCTAATGGCCCGCTACAGTTAGTTGGTGACAAGGGCTGACCCTCATGTGCATAGAGCTATATTTGCCATGAGAGGGATGTGATATTTATATCACATTTTGTTCATTCCTAACCAAAGTCTCCCCTTATAATAACTTATTCTACTACGGACATGAAAAAACGAGTCAACATATCAGCTTGTGATATCGTGTTTGATCATCAAACAATGAGTAAGAGTAGAATATAATAGTTTATCATATTCTATCCTCTTTGTCTTGAACACCAAACCAGTCATAAAAATTATAATATAAATAGGCGAAGATCCAATATATTCTCAATCTATATGTAAGGAATTACAAAAAAAAAAAATTCAACAAAAATGTGAACTAGGAAGGATTGGTCGATGAAATATGAACCGAAGGCAATCTAATTCTGACCGGTAATAGATATCCGGGCTTTGCAATATTTGATTGATTACAATTCTGTATATTCCATTTATTATAAAAGTTTCTCAAGAATTCATTAGAGGAATGTTTCCAAAAAATTAATAAAAAATTTATTCTTGCTGACATTTTTTTTTTGTTAAAATAAATGCAGATCAAACATCATACAAATTTATACTCACGCGTTTTTCATATATTCTCAATTTCTCATGGAAACTAATCAGAGAACGTATTTTATAGTTTATGCAAATAATAATTTTGAACTCGCTCACCAACGAATAAAAAGAGAAAAATAATTTTTTTTCTATGTTTGGCCAGAGATTTTGAAAAAAATTGATAATACAATTCATTTTAAATAATATTTTTAGTAAATAATGTGTATTTAATGTTAATAAGTTTAAAATACATATCAGACTTAGTAGTGAGCCAATTGCACTTGTTTGAGATAACGCTCATATTATTATATATTTTTATACAAATTCAATTTAACCTGTTCGACTAATGTCCACCAATTAAATCAAATTAATCAATGGTTTATTGATCCGATATTCTGAACAAGTTGATAACCGGTGTGAGTTTAATAAAACTGCTAATAACACATTCTACTATGTGTACATTTAACAAAGGGAAAAATGTTTTCGCAGTTACTGCAGATAAGCTATTAATATTTATTCTCAAAACGACGTCGTTTTGGTATTGAAATCTTAAAAAATTATAAATATAAAAACTAATATAACCTTGAAATAAATTAAAATTACAAAAATACCATAATTTCTGTCCTAAAACGACGTCGTATTGAGCTTACTGCAATAACCCTTTAATAAATTGTGTGCTAGAAACAAAAAAAAAAAAAAAACAAAATTTAGGATTTGTTTGATTTTATTTTGTTTTTTCGTTCTTCTAAACTGATTTGCAAAACAAATTTTGAAAAATGATTTTGAAAATTAGAGAGCAATACAAGTTGTTTGAATATAATTAGATTTAGAGTTAAAATGAAGTTAGATTTATTTATAAAATTATCACTAATGAATTTTCATAATTATAAATTTGCCATCGCAAAATAACTTAAAATTGAAAAGAATTCAAGTTTATTTACTAAATTATTATTAATGAATATTCATAATTATAAAATTGCCACTACAAAAATAATAAACTAAAATATAAATTTTGAGAATATCTCTAGGGGTTTTCTAAATTTAATTTTAAAAACTAAAAAACATTTCTTGTTTGAGAGTCATTTTGACAAAATAATCTTTACCAAACATTGTTTTAAATTCTAAAAACCGAAAATCTATTTTAGAAAACAAACAGGTCACTAGTTTCGTATTTCTGCCGATTTGTGTAACTGGGCTGTTGGTTCATTACCTAGCTAGAACAGAAGAATAAACCAATTTTATTAAATATTATTTCTAACCATTTTTTTTCTTCACACAACAGTTAAAGAAAAAAAAAAACATTTTTAGAAAATGAAAGTAATTTTGAGAGGTGTGATAGTGATACTAACTATATATGGTAATCCATATTTGCAAACAAAAATGAGAAGTTGCCACTTGCCAATGTAATCACAAGTCTTGATGAAGCTAGTAATTTCACACGGCTTATTATAATACAGAAAAAAGAACTAAAGTGAATTCAAGGGAGAGCCATGGAAATTTACGATTGAAATACAAAATGGTAAAGAAGATGATATATACGCCAAACATGACAAGGCATACACAAAAGTCCAAAGCTGGCCATCCCCTTCAACTCTTTCCTTGAAAATGCTGATAAAAGCTGTAATATAATAGAGTTTAAACCAAACACTTGTGAAAATCGCATAAGGAAGCTTTGAAAATGATGATAAACCAATAACCTTTTTGGTTTTCTTTTACAACGTTATTTTCACACTAAACCTTTGTCAACACAATCTAGACTTAAAAGGTATACGCGGGTCTCTTCACACGGGCATCCCTGAAATTGTTGACCTTGCTTCTTCTTCTTCTTCTTCTTCTTGATTCTGAGCAACTGGAGAGGGAAATTGAGTAGCTTGGAACAATCAAATGGATGCAAACCAACCAGAGAAAATCTATGTTGCTGTTGGCAATGATGCACAGGATGGATTTATGACTTTGCATTGGGCTCTCAAGAAATGGAATTCTCATCCAATTTCCATTGTTATTCTCCATGTGACTTGCAATGTTTCCGTGGATTATGTTTATACACCATGTAAGTTGGGCTTAGTGTATCAAGCTTGGTTGTTTGTTTTTTTTATTGAAATTCAATTGGGTTTCGCTTAGTTTTGTGATTCTGTTGCAGTTGGGAAACTTCCAGCAAGATCTGTGAATGATGAGAAACTAGAAGTTCTCAGGAAAGATGAGCAAGAGAAAATCAACAAGCTGCTTTCCAAGTTTGTTGCTTTGTGTGGCACGGTATTTACAATTTTAGTACTTTAATAACAGAGTTCAATTGTTTGAAATGGTTTAATTACCTCCAACTATAGTATTATGTTTATGCATATTACAGGTGCCAGCAGAAATTCTTGAAGTTGGAAAGTTTGATGAACCTATGCAAAAGCGCATGATAGACTTAATCCTTGGTCTAGGAATAACCAAATTGGTCATGGGATTTTCATTCATGAAGCCCTCCTTGTACTATTTCATTTCCTTGCTCTTTTCTTCCAATTTTTTTTTTTTTTTTTTAATGTTAAAAAGTCTTTGATTTTGCTTAATAATTCATTTTCCTTCTGGTTTAGGAAATCAAAAGGTGTCATTAGCGGATTGTTCTATGTTCATCAGCACAAGCCTGCCTCCTGTGAATTGTTCATAATCTGTGGAGGGAAGCAAGTTTTTCTCAGGGGAAAAAATGATGAGAAAACCATGGAGGACGATCATGGAATGATCGTTGCCAAAACAAGAGATAAGATAACTTTTAAAGATTGGCTAGACAAAATGTTCAATGACAAAACCAATGATTCCTTAGAAGATAGAAGTGCATCATCTTCCTCAACAAATTTAGAGTCCTCTGTGACCCCAAACCAATGGGAATTTTATCTCCAAGAAATTGAGAATTATTATCAAGAATTGCTATCTTTAAATTTGGAAGAAGGAAGCAGCGGGCAAGATAATGAAGCCTTCCAGATTAATCCAATTGAGCCAGATTTCACTGAACGGAACAATTCTAATATGGTAAGTAAACAATGATAGATATTTTCCAGAAATTTGTGGCCTTGATTAATCCTATTATTTATCTTTCGTTTTGTTTCTTCTGTGGAGTTGTTAGATTATTTGTTTCACTTTACAACATATAATTTTTTTTTCATAGGTTGTTGTCACTGTACGAAATTGAAAAAAGTAGGCGCCTGTTTGCGAAAGTCTAAATTAGCCATCACATTCCAATGATCTCCTCCATCCTTTTCTTAAATCTTACACTTTGACTTTAATTAGCATTTGATTATACATATACGGAATAAATTATTCTATTTATTTTTTTTTGAATAAATATTTTTTTGGTCCTTAACAAAAAAAATATGATTTTCATTTTAATTTTTTATAAAAAAAATTAGTCGGTTGGTTCATATAAAATTCAAAATAGATCTATTTTAGTCCTTTTGAGGGATTAATGTGAGTCTTTTTTGAATTTATAAGGGATCACGATTTCAACTAAATGGGTCCACTTTAAATTTCTTAAGGATCTCGAGACTATTTTTTTTGGTAAGGGACTAAAGTGAAGATCGCATTTTTTTGTTAGGGACCAAAAATGATATTTACTTTTTTTTTTTATCTTTGTCTATTATTCTTTAATATTATTATATCAGAATCTCAAATACTTTTATTATTTATCTCTTATGTTAAGATTTTAATATAATAATATTAAAGAATAGTAGTAGGTAAAAAAAAATATACGAAGAAATATATACATATAAACTGATGGGACCCATTTTAAGCGGTGGGTATGTTTAGGTTCCAGGTTTTGTAAGCCATTTTCAAATCTCTGTCTTGTCCTAAATCCGTGATTAGCTTTCCATGTTTTCTTTTGGACACAAAAAGTTATTCAATAGTAAACGGTTCAAATTTTATATACTCACATATTTTTTATTGTAATTGTTTATATTTTGTTTCCTTTTTATTATTTCACATACATGGTGGATTTATTTATCGAAATAATGCCTAATTTTGCCACCTACTGATCAGAGTGATGCAGAAAAAATTGAGGACCTAAAAACTAGACTGAATGAAGCCCACGAGACCATCCAATTGAAGAGGAAAGAAGCCAAGGATAGCATGGAGAGACATACAAAAGCTGAATGGGCAATTTGTTTATGCAACAGCCGGGTAATATTCAACACCAATTTGGAGAAACATGCAAAACTTATTTGTTGTTATTAGTTTTTCTTTTTCTTTTGCATGTCATTTTCAACTTTGAATTAACCTGGGTTAATTAGAAACAGTTAATCTCCGACACAAACAACAAAAAGTAATTATTTTTTTTAAGTTTTGAACTTTTGATGTTCCCACCATGTGATGTATTTGTTGGAGATTTAATTGTTTTTCCTACAATATGAAAAACAATTAATCCATAAAATAAATATTTTATTTAAAAGTTTATTCAGTTAAGTGATATATATTTAATAATTTTATATTATATCACTTTAATACAAATATAATCAATTTATTATAAATATAAATAAGGAAAAATTATTTTATCTATCTTTATCTATTATTTTCCAACATCATTATATCAAAATCTCAATAAAAGAGAGAAATAATAATTGCAGTTGAGATACCAATCTGATGGTATTATAAGTGATAGATAAAGATAAGCAGAAAAATAAATAAATAGAGGTTTTAATATTTCTAAAGTGAATGTAGATAAATTATCTACATTTACTCCCAAAATGATGTTCTTTTGGGTTGAAAAATAAAAAATTAGAATAAAAAATACTATTATAATTTTAAAATAAATTATAATTACAAAAACACTTGATTTTCATCTCAAAACAACTGTATTTTGAACATCTCAATGTAGATAAGTTACGTAGATAAGTTATATAGAAAAAGCGAACCCACAGATAAATAAATAGAATAACCTCTGCCAAATAAATAAACTCGTATATAATTAATGAAGAGTTTATAGCACCATCAAGTAATAAATTAAATTCTTATGTATTGTTTTCTTAGGTGGAAGAATTAGAAAGTCGAAGAAAGGAAGAAGTGAGTGCAAGGGAAGAGCTAAAGAAGGAGTTGGAGGCGGAGAAAGAAGAGATAGAGGAGATGAGAGTGGATGTTGAAGAGAGGAAGAGGAGGCTGAGTTCATTAGGAGAGGTGCAGAGGGAGGTGTCGAACAGGTTTCAGATATCAACAGAGGCAAAGACAAGAGCGGAGAGGGAACTAGAGAAAGCGGTGGGTGAGAGGAGAGAGATGGTGAGGGAGATAGAAGAGTTAAGGAGGCAAAGGGATGTGCTGAATAGAAGGATTGAGTTTTGCAAGCAGAAGGATGCTATTGGAATGGCTGCAAGGCTGAATGAGGAGGAGCCTAGCTGCAATTTCAGGGAGTACACGGAGGAGGAGATAAGGTTGGCCACCGACAACTTCTCACAACGGCTGAGGTTGAAGTCCGTTGGGGATTGGACCAATGTCTACAGAGGACGATTCAATCATTCCACTGTTGCAATCAAGATGCTCCATTCTTTGCCTTCCTTGTCCCACCAAGATTTCATATCTAAGGTAACCGACATCAACCAACCACTTCCTTTTCTTCGCCTGCCTCTAAATATCAATTGCCATACATACCGCTTGGCCTTTTTCATAAATAACATATTTTTTCAACCACTCTTTTTCTCATTGAGTCAATTTTTTTATTAATCTTACTTATTAAATAAATAATAAACTCAACTATTGCAGGCATACCGACAAGTTTAATGTATTTTTTTTTTAAATTTTTTATCCAAATAATGTATTTTTGAAACATATTATCAAAGTAAGACGATGAATTTAATATGGGATAAGGGGTGTGGAACTTGCTACAGCAGGACACGTGTTGAATGATGATAAGTCTAGACTTTTAGCATTATATATATATATATATGTGTGTATGAGATAGGATCAACTTACACTGGTGTAAGAATAATAAATCTTATCCGTTAAACGGATAAGATTTATTGAGAATTAAAAATTAATTAATGAGTGAGACATAATAAATCTTAACCGTTAGATGTAAAAAATCATTGGTTAAGATTTGATGTAAGACTTATTATTCTTACACCCATGTATGATGATCATGCCTATATATATATATATATATATATATATATATATATACTTATCGTTTCTCAAGTTGCTTGAGATAATTTTATCTCCGGCTATAAATCATAACCGTACAAAGATGGATTAATAGTGATAAAGGACGAGAGAGAAAAAAGAGAATCATAACTATTCAAAGGTGAATCAATTAATATAAGGAAATAAATAAACAAAATGACGTAGTTTTGAATAGCCGGAGATAAACTTATCTCAAGTTGTCAGAGAAATATTTTTCCGTATATATATTATATATATATTCAATTAAACAGGATAATATTTGAATTCAGTTTTAATAAAACAGAAAAAATTAGAATTTATTAAATTTATTACTTTAAATTATCAAGTTAAATATTACATGTATTAAATACTGAATATATGAATTTATTTGATAAAATAAATAATAAAAATACAGAATATAATAACAGTAATTATCACGTTAGGTACGAGGATTTTTTATTTTTTATTTATTATATTAATTGAGTGATAAAATATAGTATTTTCTAAAATAATCTTATAAATTTGTGTACCGAAAAATTATTTTATGTTTTTGTGCTGAAAATTTAAATTTATGAAATAATTAATTTTTTTTCTTTATTAAATGAAAATATTCAAATCCTCTGTCACCATTAAAATCAAGTATTTTCTTTCTTCATTAAAGTAAGTATTCACCATTCTTTTTCTCCTTTAAATTTGATAATTCAATTTATCAAAATACTTTTAAAATTATTTTATTTTATAAAAATGAGTTCTGGTTTTATTAAAAAAAATGAAAATTACTAAGACACACATAGTGCATTATTCTATGATTTTTTTATTTTTATTTTACTAGAAATGTGCAAACATGTACTCTGGAAGAGAAAAAATGTGTAAACACACTCCGACAAACAAAACGTTTGTATGGTGCTTTAGTTATTTAATGTTACATAGTCTCAGAAAAATAATTAAAATTTTGAGTGAATTTAGCTAAATTTAGTAGTATTTATTAAATAAAATAAAATTCTCACTTGTTCATTCAAACCGCCAACAAGCAGGCCAAATGAATATCTCAAAATTCTAAAAAATATAGCTTCTTAACATTTTTTTTAACTTTCAGAACCAAAAAAAATAAAAATAAAAACCTATTTTATAAAAATAGTTCTAAAAATTACAACTGTTTTTTAGAATTTAGAAATAAATTTAGAGAATATAATAATTTCAAGAAAAAAAAACACATAACACAATGAAACAGACCCCTTAATTCTTCTTTCTTATCTTGGATTTACTAATTACACCTGCATTTTCAGGTGAGGCTTCTTGGTGATATTAGGCAACCTCATGTGGTAGCCATGGTGGGCTTCTGCTCTGAGCCCAAATGCATAGTTTTGGAATACATGCGCAATGGAAGCTTACGAGACATGTTGTTTTCTAGGCGAAGAAACCGGGTCTTACGTTGGCAAGACCGAATACGAATAGCGACAGAAGTTTGCTCGGGCCTGGGCTTTCTTAATGCAGCTAAGTCAAGGCCCGTTGTTCATTGTCATTTGTCCCCATCCAACGTCCTCCTAGACCGCAATCTGGTTGCAAAGATAAAATGTTTTGGGCTTCAAGAGTGCCATGATGAGGGATGTAACGTAGAGTCTGATTTGCGGGCTTTAGGGGTCTTGTTGCTGCAGCTTTTGAGTGGAAGAAATTGGGCCGGGCTCGTTGAGGAGACCATGACACTTGATATGGATACAGAGGCTTTGGTTACCGTTCTTGATGAGATGGCTGGACACTGGCCGTTGGATCTAGCGAAAGAACTTGCGGGCCTAGCTATGAGGTGCTTGTCCATGAAAAGCAATCCCAACTCAGAATTGAGCATTGGAAGAGTATTGGAGGAACTCAATGAAATGAGAAGAAAGGGTGATGAAATAATTGCAAGGGAAGGACGAAAGGTAATCGTTGGTGGATGCATAGATAGAGATGACTCCAACGATGTGCCTAGTATTTTCCTATGCCCTATACTTCAGGTTGGTCTCATTATCTTTTGATATTATTTTTCGGTTTTGTTATTTAATAGTGAAAAAAATATTAGTCAATTTAATGGACATAATTTTACAGGGGCACCATATATTTACAAACTTTTTTGTTTACAAACTATACTAAGTACGACCGGTCATACTTTAATCATGCAGTGTACGATCGGTTGTACTTAGTGTAATTTACAAAAAAAGTTTGTAAACGAATCCTATCCCAATTTTATATAATTTTAAATGAAATGATCGCGTTTAATATATATTTGTTAGCCTTTTATATTCTCTTCTCCACAAAATTAGGAGGAGAAAATGATAAAATAATATGGAAGTGAGAGAATGTAAAAAATTAACAAATATGCACCAAAATACAATCATCTTATTTAAAATACAGAAAAATATTTCTGCAATTAATGCAGATAAGTTATTTGCATTTACTTTCAGAACGAAGTCGTTTTGGAATTAAAAGATTAGAAAATTATAATTATAAAGACTATAATAATTCTAAAATAAATTAAAATTACAAAAATACCATGATTTTCGCCCCAAAACGATGTCGTATTAGGCTTACTGCAGATAACTTATCTACTGTAACTGTAGAAAAAGCAAACCCTTTAAAATAATACAAAATTAAACTGTATACTTTAAAATGATAATGTTTTTTTTTTCCTTTAATATTCCCTTGAACTCAAGGTTTTGTATTTATGTGATGTTGGGTGCAGGAGGTAATGAAAAACCCACACGTGGCGGCAGATGGATTTTCTTATGAGCTGGAAGCAATGGAACAGTGGTTGCAATCAGGGCGTGACACATCACCCATGACAAATTTAAGGCTGAATCACACATTCCTTATCCCTAATCAATCCCTTCGTTCCTTAATTGAGGATTGGCAGAACAACGGATCAGCTAAAGTTGCAAATTAGAACCAAATTCTTTTTTGTTCATCGGATTATGTACAGTTAAACTGAAGGTTGTGACATAGCTTCCATCTCATTACCATATTAATGGACCAATAAAAAAAATGTACCAATTGAGTTAGCAGGTCATGGGTAGGTTCAACCTAAAACTTCTAAAAACTCTCATCCTTTTTCCCCTTGTCAGTTATTTACTACAACTCATACAAGAATGAAATATTAATTGATATAAAATTATATATAAAAACACTATTTTTTTTTTCCCCTTCAGTAGGCACTAGACAATATATTTTTATAAGTACAATTAATGTTTTAAAGGTATCCTCCAATTTGATGTTGCTGAAGCTATATTACATAAACATGTATAATTTTATCTTTCTTCTTAACGAGATGCAATATCTTTGAAGTTCCAAATCCTCCAATGACTTTCGGTTTTATGCTTTATTCCCCAAGAAAGCCCGTGGAAGAGAACAATGATTAATAGACATATCCCAGGAGTGACCTTTTCCTAGAACGAAGGTTACCAAGATTAAATATGTAAGTGAACCAAGTATTAGATTCCCAAACATTTTAACCAACAGCAACAACGGGCAACTTTCTTTGGCAGAGAATATTCGGATTGCATTGAGGGATCAGTGGCAATGTCTTCAGCTCGTGACCATATATACACCCCTCGTTCTTGTTGATTGCCCGGGACAGTATTGTCCAGTATAAATGCCACCAACAGTGTAACCACCATGTTCATGGACATAAGAGCATTGACTGCAAAATCAAGCTGAAAAGTTTTTGACCAAATAAACAAAAAGACAGGTTAGCTCATCTTTATCAGGAGAGGAAACATGTAATACCTGTATTTGCAAGAAAACCAAGTACAATGAATTAAATCAAACTTAATATGTGACATATTCCTTGTCTTTTTTCATATTTTATATTGGAGGCAAAAAGGTGTCTGCATAAAAAAGTGACTTACTTGTTCAATGCCTGAATGGAATGGACCACTTGATGCTGCCGCATAAGGAACCAGATAACTGGGCAGTATCAGACTGGACTCAGGCTGGTATTGTTGAAAATAAGCAGGGATGGACATACCAAGGAACAATGAAACGCCAACTATTGTTATGTTCCTGAAGCTGGCTGATTGACTATACTGTAAAGTCGAGAGGCCTAATGCCGCGGTAAGAGCCCACATGAAACACAGTATAGAAGCTGCCAAGGCCTGTGGAATGGAAGCAAGAAGGGCACCCACTTTTCCTACAAAATACAAATAAGCAATAGATTGGATAGCACAACAAATTAGCCTGTATACAGAAAATATCTAAACTTCAATTCAGGTGTAAGGTATCTAAATTATAGTTTATATATGACAGCTGCAGTCAATCTTGATCAGTGTCAGAAGAACATGTAAACATGTGTGTATTTTTAGGTAACTTGTATCATGATCCAAGTTCCACTAACACAAAAAATCTAATTCAACAGTCATATTTTGAGAACCAACTCAAATGCACCAAAATTAGACCACTGCACATCCTTAGATCCACCTCAGCCAGCATGCAGCAAAATGGAGAGGAATAAAAACTTAATATACAGTTGATTAAGAATTTTGAAATCAAATATGGATTTTGTCACCAAATGTTGTTGCTTTACCTACAAATGAGAACAGGATCAAGAAAGCTGCTCCCAGTTCCACTACCTTCCGACTTGCCACCTTTGTGATATCAATTGTGTGCATGTTTTCTGTCAAAGTCGTTGATCCAGTACCTGAACCCCACAGACCAGCCAATATACTACAGAAACCCTCCAGCGCAATTCCTCGGCTCACAACCCCTGGAGTTGGAGGCCTCAAATTAACTTGCAGAGATGTTGTACGATAAGTTCCAACCTGGAAAAAGGATACGCCATTCACATAGTTACTATTATAGCTTCATCTCCAATTCACGTTTGACTCTTGATTTCAACATGAAAATCTATCTTAACGATCACATATGGGATAAGTACCTTGACAATAATCACCTTGTTTAGCACTTAGTGCCTAACATGCCTTTTAAGTCTAAGAAAATCTTAATCAGAGGGACCTCAAGTTCTGTGTGTGGGTGTGGGTGTAAATGTGTACCACTTTCTTCAATTTAAGACAAATATCTTTAACTTTTGTGAAGGTTTTGCTACCTCCATTATGAATTTAAATATGATACTTACTGAATCCACAGAGGCAACCAGTGACACTATGACCATGATTATGGAAGTCCTAAAATGGAAAATAGGGATACCCCACTGTAGAGGGTAAGGAATTCTGACCCATGCAGCAGTAGACAATGCATTGGAAACATCGGTCCTGCAATGCTTCATGGTATATGCATGTTTTCTACATGCATCCATCAGAATGTTTGAACTTGGTATATTGGGATTGCATCCTTTGTAATTATATGCTCCCCCAGCAGTTAAAAAGGATGCATATATCCAAATTATTGTCACACTCAGGGGAACCTGCAAATATTAAAAAGTAATTTGTTATTATATCCACCTATATTAAAGCACAAATAAACAAGAAATGCCAAGTAAATCAAAATGTTCATTATTTAATGTCTTAACAACAAATCTGGAGCCTTGCTGAAGAATGCAGACAATATTAGAGTAACATTTCTAGGAGACTTAGAGATTATTTTTTTAATAGAATCTGACCTCACAAATATTGACCAATTTTAGTTGACAGATGTCCTTTATGCTAGAGTAGTATTCCTTTCTTTCCTCTCGGTGTATGGGACTGTTAGGTTCATTATTCTTTCGTGTGTCAATGTTCAAGGTAGCATCAAAATAAACTATCTTATTAATGCTCATGCGAAAGCAGGATAGGTGCAGCCCTGTCAGAAAATGAGAATCATCTACTAGACTTCTAGCATGATTGGGATTTGATAAACTAAAGAGTGCATAAATGAGAGATAATGAATGCCATAGCTCAACAAAGTGAAAAATGAACAAGTAATATCTTAATTTAAGATACTTACGGCATAAATTCGAAATAAGTAGCGCCCAAAGATAGATATTCTTCGAAGATACTTCAAACAAGACAAAAAGAAGCAATAATATGAGTTTCTGAATACTAGTGAAACAATATAATAAATATCTAAAAGTTCATGACAAATACAAAAGACAAACTCTAACGTACAAGCAGTAAGATATCACATTACAACCATCAGAAAACCTTTTCAGATACCAAATATCCTGTATTGGTGCCGCATGAAATGCTTGGTACATGACTCACCAGAGTGAATATTAGAACCAGTGCTATCTGGGGAATGCTAATTTCCACGCAAGTGCCAGCTTGTGGAAAACCATAGCTGAAGAATGCTAAACCTACAGCAGCAACAGTTGGGGCAACCACAATTGGGTTGATTAACCTACAACAAATGGTTGTAAAATTGTAAAAATTAACAGATTACACTCGAGTCTTAAATTTATTACTTCATTGACCAAAATAAGTTCCTGTTATGCATCTGTTTATCTATTATGTTAATGCACACACACTGTAAATATTTAGTAAAGTAGCAGAACAACAAACTAACAAAATATAGAAATTTACTAAATTGAACACTAGACGAAAGATATATATGGTGAACACAAGGAATATATGGCATGCAACTTCTTGTTACCTGAGAAGAATAGACATTAAACCACTAAATCCCAGGATGCATTGGAATATTGAACCAATAATTATAGCTCCTTGGAGTTCCCTCATTATGTGCCTAAATTTCTGCAATTAAAATATGCTGGCTTAATATGGAAACTGAGAATATCAAAACTAACAGAATAGAAGCCAAAGATTAATGTGATTGTGAACACAGGTCCACATTCTGTTGACAAAAACTGACTAAGAAAAAGTCTGTTGGAGTTGAATAGATACATCATAGCAGAAAGGATAAAGAAAAGATTATGCTGGCAATTCAAGTAACGTCAACTCCTAACATGTGTCTGATGAATTAACATTTTCTGTCTGTCAATGAAGTAATGAACTTACATGTTCTGTAAGATTCCGATATTCTTGAGCATTTATGATAACTAATGCTGGTGCTAAATACACAAACGAGCTCCCTTGAACTAAAGGCAGTCGAGTACCAAAGTAGGAGTGCAGTATAGTTGTCATGCCAGAAAGAAACAGCACTGTAGAAATTACGGTAGCAGTATCCTTCTGTCATCAGTGATTAATTTAAAAGTGAATAGATAAGAATATAAAAAACTATTATTTTTCTCAGAGCAACAAGCAGTAAACACTAAACAGTAAACAACAGCATATACTTACATCTGTTCCACCCATGGCTGGTACCATGACTAATGGGATCAATACAAGTGAGCCAGCCAATGATAGATAGTGTTGCAGGCCATAATAGATGAGAAGTACTGCAGTTAAAGATGCTAAGATTAAGTTATACTGAGGTATCAATTTTTGTGCAAGTTACAGCAACACAATTATGCTAATAATAAGATAGTAATTAATTAAGATAATGATTTGGAAATAAAACTCGGAAAAAGCAGTTCTGTCATAAAGGTCTTCTTCAAACATCATGATTGATGACCACGGATGTGGTCCCTTTCTTTGATTAATTGATTTCATGATAAGTTATCTCAACCATGTTCAAGGAGATCAAGTACTGGTATTCACAAATGGGATTCATGTGGACCTTTATTCAAAACATTTTGCCCATAGTTGCTAGAATCGCATGATTTGATACAGTTCAGCAAGTGAGCGATTCTATCATGTGAGGAATTGAAGATGGCTTTGAATCACACAATAAGTGCATGAATCAGTGCAATTCCGTATCACTAATATGAACCACACAATTTAACAATTCATCGATTTTTTTTTCCCATCTGTTCTCATTAAAAATTACAAAGTCAAATAAGCTTAAATTGTCAAATGGAAATAAACGAAAGGAGTTCTATTGAATGTACCATATTTGATTATTCCATTGCCATTTTTTCATTCTTCTGAAATAGAGGCTTGACACAATCATTCTCTCACTCTATGCATCCTATTTGACAATTCCATTGCCCTATTTTCATTGTTCTGGATTCACACAGTCACCTGCTCACTTTAGAAGTACCTTATTTGGCTATATTGTTGCTTTTTTATGTTCTTCTAAAACATAGGCTTCATGCAATTGCTTTATGTGACTCAGTTATGACTTATGATTTATGATTTTGTGTAATGAAACTTATGATTAAGTTGTTTTGTCAACTCCTAGTTTAAAATTATTATATTGAGCATTATACATCATTTATATGATATATTTCAACCTATTTTTCATTATATCTCTTAATCTTACGATTCAATACAATTTGCGATTTAAAAATTAACTTAGAGATTCACGATTTGAATTGTGATTTGATAACCTTGGCCTTGCCCTATTTGGAAATGATTCAAAGGGGATCATCTTGCAACTAGAATGGAACTTGTTGGTTGTAGGCGAGCATTCTGCCTTAGCAAGGCCGATGTAGGATTGAATTAGATCCCAACCATGACATTCATTGATGGGCTTAAGTAGGTAGGGTCGCGTCCTGATTAACAACCATAGCTTTTGACCAAGTGGTAAGCACTCAACATAATGGAACTAAAGACTGGTATTCTTAAATAAAGATCATGTTTATAAGGGGAGGGCATGAAATTTTTGGCTTTTCATTTGGGTAAACAGTTCTATAAATTCCTGTAAAGTGTAGAAATAACAATAGTAACTAGAGCTCAAAGCAGCTGATTGCATTCACGCCCCAAATCCAAAAAAACATTCATGGCATCCTCCATATTCTTAAACAAGATAATATGCATCACCTACAGACCAATTTATGAAGAGATAAATAAATCATGACCAAAACTTATTGATGGCCTTTTGAACATCCAAACACAGGGAGTTAGCTACATAGCAGTCACATTGCTGAAAATACAGCATTATGCAGTTCAAAGATCATAAGATAAAAGACAATAGAAAATAGTATCTTAAGAGTCACGAGAGCTATTTTCAGACCATCCAAAATCCGAATTCTAAAAAATAAACTGATAAGAGCTAAACAGACAATGTGTGCAAGAATTTATAACCGAGAGAAAATGGATGAACATAAACTAACCAAAACCAGGATTTTCTTTGAGCCCGCACTTCAATTCGGATGGTCCATGCCACCCTCCATCTGCAGGTTCCTCCCCTTCAGGATACAGATTGACCTTGACATCTCCTCGTAACACATCCTCCTCCTCTTTCTTTTCCTCTGGAACTGGAGCAACTGCAGAGATTCCATGCCCATTACTATTAGCATTTCCATTAACATTCCCTCTGAAACCAACCTTCTTCTCCCCATCAGGAGCCAAAGCCAAAACAGGCTCATTCCCTTTTCTCTCAGTCGTGGTGGCTCCTCCATGGGAAGCTGGTTCGATCTCATTGCCCCTGTTGGGTCTTGTCCTCCCCAGAACCGGATCTAACTCTATCTTTGGAGAGAACACTCCTCCTTTCCTCTCTAAAGACTCAAACTTTTCACTGGCACTAGTCCCTGCTTCCCCTGAGTAATCAGACACAAAACCGGTTCTCTTGGCCCAAGACCTCAACTCTCTCGGACTGTGCTCACTTCTTGCCACAAATGGCTCCACTTTCGCTGCAACACCACCATGTCTCTTTCCAGTGCCACCCCTCACATTCGGATCCTCGCCCCTCTCCATTCAAAACCTTTTTTTTTTTTTTTTTTCTTTCCAAAATGGTACTACTTACTGACAATACAGTGGAAAGAAGAAAGATAAGATTTTTATAACAAGCAGAGAGAGAGAGAGAGAGAGAGAGAGAAGGAACAGAGGTACAGTGGAACCAGAAACGGTGTGCAAAATCAAAGGAAGAGATTAACAATGTGCTTTAGTGCAGACAGTGACTGTTGAATGAAGGAAGGTGTGAAATTACCAAAACGTCCCTCTACTATCGCCGTTGATAAGAGTACTGTAGAAGATGCCAGCCAGTGCTTTAGTACTCGTTGTATTTGAATTTGCGTCGTCCTTTTTTGAGGTTGCCTTTCGGTGGAAACCAAGTCTAGTTGACAATTACTCTTTTTCTTCTAAAATCATCGAGTAAAGTGGAGTATTTTAATTGATTTATTTACACATCACAAATGTTCCATCACCTCTAAGCAAACTAACATAACATTAATAGGACCGCTTACCTGGTATGGAGGAGCACCGTTCACCACTCAAGAATTTTTATTGGAGTCGCTAGCTTCCCTAGTAAATTTTCAATATTATTGCATTCAAAATTAAAAATAAGTAACCAAACGGTGGTAGCATACTACATGCGCTTCGGTTCGTTGCTTATATTAATCCTATAACTGGCTTAAAAAATTAAAATTAAGGTTAAAGTTTGTAACAATATTAGAAGAGACTACTTAAATGAAAGATAATTAGTATATGTATAAAAAAAAAAAATTAAAAGTACGTGGAATACCAAGGTGCGAAAATTCAACCACTACATCGCTAAAAAATCGTAAATACTATGGGTTTAAAGTTTTTAAAATTATTTTACATAATTTTATCTAATATTTATTAAAATATACATAAAAAAGTGTGTGAAATTCATGTGAACCTGTCTTAAGATAAGAGAAAAAAAAAATATAGATTTCACATTATATATTTTAATGAATATTAAATAAAATTATTTATAATAGTTTTAAAAACTTCAAATCCAAAAAAATTAGAGGAGAGATATTCTTATTACAAAAATTTTCTACTATCAATTCACTACCTATCTAGTTACTGTTGGATTATTATTTTCTTTTTTTTCAAATTTTTTTTAACATTCGGTGATTCCTCCAAAAAAAAATTATACCGAAAATTTAAGATTTTTTTTTTCATTTTAATTGTTGACGGCAAAATCCTCGGAGGATTCGAAAAATAGAAAAAATATCAACTTTTTTTTTTTTTTTCAGTGTCTATAAGTTTCAAGAGGTTTATGAGTGTTTGCTTTCGTTCCCTCTCTGCAAGTTTGAAGAGCGAGCGTGGCAATGGAGTTTCCTCCTTCTTCTTCCTCGTCCATGGTATCAGACGACACCGTTTTCTACGCCATATACCCTGATTCTTCTTCTTCTTCCACCAACACCACCACCACCACCACCACCCTCCAATCGCTGCACCTGCAAATCCTGGAAACGGTGTCTCCCTTGACCAGCGAGTACATATGGCAGCACCAACCCTTCACCCTGACCCTCTCCACTCCCCCAAACCCTTCATGCCCATGTTCCTCCTCTTCCAACCTACATCACCTCCACGGCCACCTCCGTTACGGTGACAACCTCGACGACGAATGGTTCACCGTCTTCCTCCTCTTCCACATATCCCTCCGCTTCCCCTCCCTCTCCATCCGCGTCTGGGACACCGACGGCGACTTCCTCCTCATCGAAGCCGCCTTTCACCTCCCCCGCTGGCTCAACCCCGACACCTCCCTCCACCGCGTCTTCATCCGCTCCGGCGAACTCCACATCGTACCCCGTAACCGCCTCCCTTCCCCCTCTCTCCTCGATTCTCTCAACTTCCTCCGCAATTCCGGACCCCAATCGCGGGCCTCCGACCCGGTTCAGCAAGCCGTCAAGAACCGGATCGCGGAGTACCCGGAGAGAGCCAGGAGGAACATGCACAGGGTTAGGGTTAGGGTTCCGTTGTCGGTGGCGCAGGTTCTGAGGCACGAGCCGTGCATGATTTCGCTGGCGGTGGAAGGGTTCTACGACAGGGACATCGACGCCATGAAGTTCGCGGCGAAGATGGAGAGGTTTTTGGAGAGAGGGAGAGAGGAGGAATTAGTGCGCGTTTGGGTGAAGATGTCTAGGGCAATGTATGCGCAGTTGGTGCAGCAAAGGTTTCAGGCTCCCAAGTGTTACCCTATGATGCCGGAGAGGGACAAGAGGGAGGAATATGTGGAGGCGGAGTTGGGGATGAAGATAGCTTGTGGGTTGGAGATGATGTATCAGCAGCGGAAGCGTGATGGGGTTGAAGGTAAGGGCTCTACTTGGGAGGCCTTTAAGCAGAGCTTGGAGAAAAGTGGCTACTTCCAAGGGCTGCTTCCAGGTTCAACTGAGTATCAGAGATTGATGCAGAATGCTCAAGAGTACTATAGAAACACTTCTCTGCACTCCAGGGCCAGGTTGGTGGACTGCTCTTTCATAACAACTATTATATGCCATCACATTATCTTATATGAGGACTCATTTGGATTGGATAGCTCAGTGTGGGAGATACCCATTGTTTTTGGAATTGGGAAAGAGCTATTGATTCAAATTAAGTCTTGTTTCTAAGTTGGATGGAGATGGGTACTTAGGTTATAATATTATTTGTTTTTACCTCCCCAGTTTATCTTGTTTTATCGTTACTAAGGTTATCGATTCAAAGAGCTATTTTGTTATATTTGTTTACGTATATGACACTAGAGAAACCTGCGAGTACTCATTTAGATAGATAGAAAGAAAAATCCTTGGACTTACCACTGAGCTCAACAATGTAGTAAGTACCTATTGTATTTGGAGGGTACCTATCGGTTCAAATTAAGTTTTTTTTTTTTGGTAGTTGGATGGGGCGTTGGTGATTAGTCTACTTAGGTTTTAGTATAATAATATTGTTTGTTCTTAGCTTTACAGTTTATATTGGTTTTTGTTGTTTTATCATTGCTAAGGTGAAAATTTGTTGCAGTGAGTTGATGAATGCTCCTGTTAGACGCATAGATGAAATTCTTGCTTTGCCACACTCGGTGGATGATTTTAAGGGTCAGGTTGTTCCTCCATCTGATGATGATTCCTGGCTTTACAATGGAGAGGAAGAGTTGAACTCTGCTCTTATGGAAAGACAAAAGGAGATGGAACTTTATGACTTAAAACACAAAAAGAAAGGGAAAGCAAAAGAGGATCAAGATACTGGTCTAACATCTGGCTCAAATGCTGATGAGTTTGATCCTGGTGATATAGCTAAAACCATGAAGGCATTTGTCCATACCTTGTCAAGTTACAAGGGTGCTGAAGCTCCTGAAGACAGGTTAGTTTAACCATGTACTTATTTAACATATCTGATATGCATGCTTCAGACGCCTATTGTATCGACTTCTTTTCAAGGAAAGGATGTGGGTCATGAAATAATTTATTTTTCATGATGTTGATGCAGATACAGTTCCATATATTTTTTTTTAATACGTGTCTAAGTCCAACACTCCAACCGGTTAATTAAGACTGATATTCCCAGAAGCTAACTATGGTCCTGTTTGAATGAGCTTATTTAGGTTTATCTACTGCTATAAGAAATTATGAAGTATTGTACCAGAAAAGTTACTTATGAAGTATTGTACCAGAAAAGTTACTTATGAAGTATTTTTGTTTTGTTTGGATGAGCTTATTAAAACAGCTTTTGAAATCCAATAAGCTGTTGAGCTTCTTTTCATAACCTAAAGTGAAAGCTGAAAATTCTTATAATAATTTCTTATTAACTAAAGTTAACCTTGATGAATTGGCAAAACTCTATTCTTGCATAGGCACTTCTCAAAGCCCCTGTCCAAATTTTATTTACTATTTAGCTTATTCTAGACCTGTCAACCCCATCCCTGTTATTTCAACCTATATTAGAGATATTAGAGCTAGCTTGCTGAATCGCAACCAGAAGCAGGACCACCCTCAGGCAAGACCCTGTGCGAAATGGGTAGCCCCACCCCAAGGTTGGTGGAAACTTAATGTGGACCCTGCTGTGAAGCAGGGACCTGCCCTTGCAGCTTGCGGAGGGCTTTTAAGGGATGAGCATGGCTGCTGGGTCTCTGGTTTTATGTACAAAGTTGGTAGCTGCTCTCCCTTAATAGCAGAGCTTTGGGCTATTCTTGTGGGAGTACAAATGGCATGGGATTGTCACGCACAACGCCTTATAGTGGAGAGTGACTGCCTTATTGCCATCCAAGCAATCAACCGGGTAGATGAAGTTGGCTTTCAGCATCAGCTTATCAATAGCATTAGGTGCTGGGCTAACAGAGACTGGTCATTAACTTTTGTTCATGTTAGTAGGAACTGCAATGCGGGTGCTGACCGCCTTGCAAAGCTAGCCTTTACTTCTAGGGAGCCCTTCATTTTGTTACCTTTTGCTCCCTCTGTATTGAATCCTATTTTGGATTCAGATCTTTCTTATCTGTAGCTTCTTTTGGGCACTTGCCCCTCTGAAATACTAAAAAAAAAAATCGCACTTACAGCAATTGAGTGTATTTAACAAGTTCTACTTAAATAAGTACGTATATTAGCTATTTATTTATCCAAACAGGATTGACTTCTGGTAAGGTAAGCACTGATATTTTGTTTCGAAAACATGTTCCATTCCCTTTTATCTTTTTCTCTTATTTATTTTTCTCTCTTATTTTTCATTTCATTTTCTCAATCTTTTTATACTTTTCATTTGAGTTCATCTATCACCGACCTCAACTAGTTTTGGATGAAGGTGTTGTTGATGTTGATGTTGATTTTTCATTTCTTTTTATTTTATTTTTTATCTACTACTATTATTATGATTTATTATTTATTTTTCTGTTTCTTCTTTGTACTCAATCTCTTCTTGCTTTTTATCTATGTTCATTGATGCCGACCCCAACTAGTTTGGGAAAAGGTGTAACTGATGTTGACGTTGGACATGTTCCATTTGTTATATGGTAATAAATAGTGATTATTCCTGCTACTAATTAATTTTTCCTGATGCTGTCATGATAAATACACATTTGGGTGATACTCAATTTGACACCTTTGTGATTTTGCTATATCACTTTATTATGATGATATCCTGACGCTGTCTTGTAAAGGAACAAGGAAGTGGACCTTGACGTGGATCAATTTATTAAAGACTTGGAATCAACAATGAAGCATCCTGGTGTTGAAGTTGCCGATTGTAATATTGAAGAAGGATCGTCATCTGACCTGGACTTTGGTGAGTTCTTCACGTTTATGTTTACTTTGGAGCAGAGGCGGACCCAGGATATTTTTTTTATGTCTGCACATTTAGAGCGGGGGTTCGGGGGCGCTGGCCCTAAATTTTTTTTTTTTAAAAGATCATGATCATGATTCAACTTTTGGTTCCACTTCAAAAGTAAAGCTTTGGTGAATCAACCAAAGTTTTAAGGAAATAATAGATAATGATAATTAAAAAAAATAAACACCACAAAAAGACATTTGGAAAATAGTATAATTGTAAGAGTTAATCGATCAAAAACTCACCTTTGTCAATGTCTATTTGATCCAAAATTGGCCACTTTTGTTTCACAAAAAAACGTGAAAAATCCCGTGCGATTCTCCTCCACTTGATGAAGATTGAATTTCAAGAATCTTGATGTTTATTAAGATTTGGAGCTAATAAGGTTTATAAAAAAAAAAAGGAGACAAAGCAATAGGCTAGGGTTTAAACTTTAAGCTTTTATTTGTAGGGGTTGATTGGGTTGGACATATTTTTACCTTTTCCTTTAATCTTCCTATTTCTTTTTTTTCTTTTTCTTTTTACTTGACTTGAATCACCCATTCTATGTGAATTTTTTTTCTCTCCCAATTTTGTGTCTGCACTGTGTCTGCAAGTGCAGACACATGCACCAAGCTGCGTCCGCCATTGCTTTGGAGGCATTAATTATTTTAGTGAAGAAGTTTTCTCTATAAATTAAGAAATTTTACGTAAATAGATGGTCTCTTTAATTGCTAAATGTTGACCCTGTTTTTGTTTGCCTTTATTTTCTGCTAATGGATTATATTTTTAAAAGAGTTGTATTACATTTCTGTTTTTTATGATATGTCATGCATGTGCAGATTTTGGTTCACAACATCTTTTAGGGTTCTTATATTTTTATCGATAATTATGTAGATGATTCTGATGAGAGTGATATGGCTGAATCTGCTGAGGAGAATGAGGATGGAGAGGATACTTTCATGCAGTCCTATTCTGATGCTATGAATGAACAACTGAAGGCAACCACCATTCAGAAAAGTTTTGTTCGTGCTAATGAACAAATTCCAAAGAAGGATGAGGTATCTTTTTCTTTTTTGCATTTACATGAGGAAAGAATGTACTAAATGTCAATGCTTAATGATGTATAAATACCAAACCTCACAAGGTCAATTGAAACGAAAGAAATAAAATAAGTAGTTGTGTCACATAAAGATGTAAATATGTTTCATTTTGGCTATTGGTTATGTTGCTAAAGCATGGATTCTCTTTATCTCCCCCTGCTCCTTCCTTTCCTGATTTTACCATTTTATATGATAATCAATAGGGGCAAAAAGAGGATACTTGTATGTTAGTTCAGTTTCTATTTTATTCAGCAAACTTTCGCAAGAGCTCGAGTGCAGTCAAATGACTGAGATTTTTTTTTTTTTTTAATTCACTTTCAGGGAGCATCAAATGCAGCAGAGGATATGGATGAGGGTTTTTCTCCTGTAGATGTGGATGTTAATTTAGTAAAAAGCTTCCTTGATTCCTTTTCTTCCCAACAAGGGCTTCCTGGCCCGGCTTCCAATTTGCTTGGGCTCATGGGGGTGCAGTTCCCACAAGATGCCAAGAAGGGCAAATGAGGTTACTAGAATTTTTATCCAGGTTTATAAGTATTGGGATTCTCAAACGGTAAAGTCTCCGTATGACGTTTCATAACCTGTTTGCCAAGATCTTTTTTCCATGGAGGGTAGTCACCTGCTTGCCTGAGGGCTGGAATGTTTACTAGTGATGGTGGAATTGCACCAGGTTTTGGCACTCGATTTGTAAAGAAGCGTGTGATTTCCTTGCCTTGAGAGAAAAGCAATTGAACGTATATACGTAGCAAGTTACTTGGCTGTAGTACAAGTGGCAAGAAGAGAGGTGTAGGAAATTGGGAATGGAATAGTTATATCGCGAATCAATGTACATCAGAAGAAAAGGAAATCATGTTTGCAATATTACAACCAGATTTTGGATTTGATGTAGTAGTTTCCGTATAAATAGGACCATATTGAAGAGACTAATTGAATCTGATAGATACAGCTGGTATTTACTTACAAAATCATCTTGGCCATGCAGTTATTTTTTATGTCAAATTTGTGTTATCGACTATTACCACTTTTATTACCATTTAATGAAATTACAAGTTATTGTTCTAGTTTTGCACTGGGTGGAAAAGAATATTAAATTTTATCTCATGTCAGTTTGTGTAAGCAAGCAAGAAAGTACCAAACTGTAATACTTTTTAATACTTTATCAAAATTAAATTCTTTTGTATATGTCTGATTGCTTAAACTGCAGCAGACATTTTTTATTTTTGTTTATACATTTGAACACACATACAAACGCAGCAGACAATTTTGCTCTGCACTTCTTGTGTTGGTTTTGCTTAAATTATATATATATATATATATATATATATATATATATATATATATATATATATATATATATATATATATATATATATATATATATATAGTGGACCTTGCAATTATTGTTGCTTGCAGAGTTGATGTATGATCATAGAGGTAGTAAGAGATAAAAATGAAGTATCACGGAGAAACAGGTGGTATTAAGGCTTCGCTTGCTGGGAAACAACTATAATAAACAAATATAATCTAATTAGTTGGATGGTTGGATGTAAAGTTATGATGTAATTCCTTTACCCCAATGGTAATTCGTTTGACGTTCTGCATCTCTAAATGCTTCCATATTGCGCTATGAAAATGATATGAGCAATTAGCAGTAACGCCTATAGTTAAGAGCTCCACTACTTTCTCCAGAAATGGTTTGTGCTGGCTTTTGTGTTGTATAAGTTTAAACATGCACATCTAGGTTGTTTCTGGCTGCAGTACTTTCATCCTTAGCAATCCAATGGGACTCTAACATTGAAACAATTTTATGGGTAGGACTTTCATAAAGAGTTAGAAGAGAGAGCACCTTTAGCAGGAGAAATCTAGAGAGAATTTAACTGTTACCATTACTATTACTAACATTTAATCTTTTCACTGCAGAAGCTGATGCACTAAATTGGCCTCACATGGCTTGGGGAAGGGAAGCCAAGACAGTATCAGATGTATTTGGTTAACTAAGAGCATTAGGCATATACAATATTGAAAGCATGCAGTTTTCATGAGTCCTGTAGCCCCACATTCCTTGTTTTGTGTTTTTTTGCCATGAATGCAGTTGCTGCTTGTCCTCATCTTACCTAATTGTGTAAGAAAATGTTGGAGCAATTAAGCTGGGATCACTTGGTATCTAAAGCACCTTATGCAATTCCTGGGATTTATGTTAATATTTTATTTTCTCTTTGGTACATTTTTTCCTGCCAAATGATCGAAGTTGTGTGTAGACAGTTTTTCATGAACACATTAAAACATTCCGTGTCTTTATGTATAAATTTGCATAGATGCATCTGTGCATGTGCTGTGTGATTCTGTCATAGAATTTCGTAACTGTGCATGTACTGTGCATGCGCGATTCTGTGCATCTTACTTCATAATTTGCCTTTAGCATCCTTCAAAAGATTTCATTCAAAGGCAGTTTGGTATCAAAAAAGACAATTGCTAATGTGGAAAATGAACTCATGATACATGCTGGGAAAAAAAATAAATACTCAGAATACAAAGAGAAATGTACACCAAAGACTACATTTTGTCATACTTCAGCCAACTTATGGACAAACAAAAAAAAGGAAAATGAATCTCTTCCCTTCTAGTAAAATGGCACTCTCAAAACACTCTAATGTAACCTATAAAAGGATTTTCAGTAAGAGATGAAAAACTAAACAAACACAATAGGAAGCTAGGAAGGTATTTTACATATTTCCCTGTCACTTGTCAGCCCGGTACTTTCTATGCATTCCAGGGGTCATGCAGGAGAAGATTGATTGTTTCTTTGGTTTGACTCCAAAGATAAATGACCTAAGAGGAACCCTGGCCTGAGTCTCTGAATGTCTTAGCTGACCATTTTGTTGTCTCTTTGAAGCTGAGAGCCCAAATTGGTCATTCAACTTTACAAGAGCCTTTTCAATTTCAAGTTGGAGAGATGTTACAATATCTAGACCTGCTTGAAGTTCATCAGCAACTCTGTTGTTTTCCTGCTTCATGTTCAAAACCTCACCTTGGAATTTGGCAGCTTGATGGCTTGTGAACCTGAAGTCATCATCTTCAGCACTGGCTTTTAATGCCGTTGTTATCTCTTCTTGTATGTCACACAAGGATGAGAATCTACCTTGCATTTCTTCTTTCAGCAATACACTTTTTTCTAACCAGACTGTTATTTCATTTTGGATCTCTGTGAGGTGCTTGAAAATCGGTCGAGCATCTGATTTTAGAGAATACTTTATGCTTCCACTACCCTCTGATGATTTCCCTTTTTCATCAAGTTTTGATACCTCAGACTGCAAATCTTTGATAGAGGTCTCAAACTTCTGTATCTCAGTGAAATAAGTACTGAATTTTAACCAGAAAGTTAAGTTCTCCTCTAGAATTTCATCAATTTTCAACCGGAACTTCTCTTCAATGGCCGATGTAGATTCAGGTTGTTCAATTTTTAAAAGTTCCTCAATGCTTTCTTTTTCCGATTGAAGAATATCATCATTTCCCTCCAAGCTTCTCTGCAGGAGACCGAGTTTCTGACGTAGAAGTCCTATCTCTTCATCTTTCATGGCATTAGAAGTCTTCAGTTCTTTCAGCTGCAAACATGAATCATTGTTGTCTCGATTTTTCTTCTCCATTTCAGAAAGTTTCTTCTTCACATCTTTGTAATTCCGAAGAGTATTAGTGTACTCAGTCAGAAGAACTTGTTCTCTATCCTGCATTCCATTCATAAACATTTGCCGCCAATCAGGTTCATCTTCTTGTGCTATTGCTTGCTCCTTGGGATCAACTTTGAGAGTATTCTCTGTCTCAGGTGATCTTTGCTTAGCACCATTTTCTAGCTGTTTCTCGAAACTCTCTGAAGAACTATCTTCTTTGTTACTTGCCTGGTGCTGGCTGACTACTTGATTTTCAGTAATAGTACTCACAGCAACTGTTGCTTCTTCATCACTATTGCCAGGATTGAGAGTCTTCTCTTGTTCTTTTAACTCTTCTGGAGATTTGTTTTCCACTGGGGTTGCCTCTTCCATTTCTAAGGAACCATTGACATTAACCTCATTCACTGACTTAACCTCATTTTCCAGTGAACCGGTGACCTTAAGTTCATCATCTGTGTGTACACCATTTTCTGGTGAACCAGCGACCTTAAGCTTGTTATCTGATGTTGGATTATGTTCTGCAGTACCGGCAACCTCAAGCTCCTTATCTGAATTTTTAGCATCTTCTACCAAACCAGTAAGCTCCTTTTCTGACTTTTCATCATTCAGTATGACATTGCCTTGATTCAAAGGAACTTGTGCTTCGGGCTCATGTTTCAATTCAGCTTGGGCTGATGAATTCTGTTGCGTCTGTGATAAATATGTGACCTTAATCTCCTCACCTGGCTGCACATTTTGGACTTTCTCTGAGAGATGATCAAGTTTACAACGTGCTTCAGTGAAATGGGTTTGGAGATTGCTATTCTCTTCTTCAACAACTTGGTTTAGATCCTGTACTGCATGCAGTTTTTCTTCCATTTCCCTCAGTTGGTCGTACAATTTATTTTTGTCGTTGATCAAACTTTCCTTATCACCTTCCAGATTTCGAATCTGGTCTTGAAGTTCATCAGTTTCGGTTTTCAATCTATTTACTAGAGCATTCTGGGATGAAACTGCTGTTTCCAAGCTGATCACTTTGCTCACAAGCTCATCAATCTTCTCTGCCATTTCTGCCACACTAAGAGATGATTTGGAGCCAGCTTCAAAGTGCTCTTTGAGGTTCTCCTGTAATGACTGTAATTCCTGTCTCCGCTGACTCAATCCATCCACATCTTCTTCCAAGTCCTTTGTTTCTGCTACTTTTTTGACATCTCTTTTGGCCCTTGGCTCTTTAGAATTGCTTTGATCATAATGGAACTCGTCCATGAGAGAGCTTAACTTGGCCTTGACATCCTTTATCCTTTTGGATTCAACTCTGGTTTCATCAAGTGATCTTTCTTGTTTCTCTTGCAACTGGGCCAATGTCTCTTGGCATGATTTAAGAGCAGCTTCTGCCATCAAACGACGAGCTTCGTCATCTTCAATAACAATACCTTCTCCAAGTTCATCTTGCAGAATGGAAACTTTCTCTTGCAATTCCTTGATCTGCTGCTCAGTTTCCCAGTACCTAGCAATGGCATTATCATAAGAGCTCTTCACGAACTCTTTCACAGTTTGTAGAGCCAGAATCTGTTTCTGTAGCTTGTCAACCTCTTCAAGTGCCTCCTTTCTGCTCAATCCAGATTTAGCAACTTTAGGAGCAGCACCTGCGGTGGTTGTCTTCTTGGATTGAAATTTCCTTGTGGCTGTTGCTGTTGTTATGACACTTCTTAAATCTTTAAGGGGAGGCTTTGGAATATTTGTTTTGAATCCTTCTGGTAGTTTTTTTGGAGGCCTTGGTGATCCATCGTCATCCTCTTCATCCATAAAGGGGACTCGATCAGGAAAAGCAGAAGCTATGGTGTTGTTGGCATTTTGCAACTCTGTTGATAAGTGATCGTATCGTTCGGCTAAAGCTCGGTAAGCCTTGTATGTAAATTCCACAAAGTTTATTAGCTCTGGTCTCTTTTTGTAATACATTTCTGCTCTCTTGGCAAAGGAGTCTCCATCTTCCTCTATGAGCTTCAGAACATTTTGCACTTTTTCCTCCATATCTGCATTTTTGCTTATGTATTTTAGCTTGCCAGGAACATAGATGCATCAAAAGCACATAAAAGTTGGTTGTGTTGATCTTACATTGGCATCTAGCCAAAGTTCAATCAAATTCTAATTTAATTTTCTAATTAACAATAAGCAAATAAGCTCCTAGTTCAATCATTACATGCACATATAGGATAGATTAAGCATCTCTTCTAAAATCCTAAAAGCATAGGAAATAACTTCAATAGTATCCCTAGTTTCTCAAATCAGTATTATGTTTAAAGCAAAAAGTGAGGCTGTACAACATGATCAACGTTTAAAATTTTTGAAAAGCATTATATCAAAAACAGGAGAAAAAAAAATTTGAGTCATGGGAACTGGACAAAAATAAGATGTGAACTGAATGAAACATTGGGTTTTGCGAATATAAAAGAGTTGAATCCCAAAAACTCTATAAAAACTAAAAAAGTGACAGAAAAAGTGTAAACCTTTTGATTAGTTCTTGAAACCCAGTTTTGGAAATCGTAGTATGCAGAGTAGCATATTCAGAATCATATAAAAAAAAATTAAACCTTTTGAGTATATAGAACAACATCAGATCTTCCTTAAACCTCCAATAATGCGACACTGAATTTTCTGATTACTCATAAAAATCTTATATATACTACTCCACTTTTATGTAAGGCAAGCATAAAACTTTAAGGTTTAATTCCACAATGAATTGAAATTGATAATCGAAAGTTCATATACATTAATTTAAAGTTGTAAGCAAAGCAATAAGTTACATTTTTCTGGCATGAACATGTACAAAAATTCCATCATAAATTGGAAAGTTGATCCTGATTTTTAATATGAAAAAGAAAATGAAGAAAAAAGCTCACCTTGAAGGTTTTGCTCCATCCATTTTGATTGCTTTGTTCTGATGTGGCTAGCCCACCACCATGAATATGCATTGCTTGCCGCTCTCTGCAACATATTGGTTTCTTCTTCTTCTTCTTCTTTCTTATCTCTTTTTTTTCTTTCCCCTTGGTCCCTGATACTGAGATCTTTACAATGTGAGAGTCAAAAAAACATGCAAACAGTGTTTCTCCTTTTATTATTCTCTTCTCTATCTATTAAAGATGGGAAGAGAAGACATGGATTCCATGACAGCAAAGGAGAAAAAGAACATCATAGAAATAAATAAAAAAACATGAAGAAAAAGAAAAAAGAGATTCAATGAAACAGAGAGAATCACAACAAGGGGGGTAGAGAGAGAAAACGTGGGAACTAAGATGTTTTGCTAATTATGGGATCATGGAGGGGAGCAATCTTCGCATGAATTCAATGACCAAACCTTCCCTTTTGAAAAAGCGTTGAAATTAAAAAAGATTAACATATGACATTAGCAACGACCCACGTGCCCGTAGCATGTTCCACTTCCACCTTTGCTTTAAAACCCACGTTTGAGTTTTCTTTTTCACAGTGTCTTTAAAGTTAACCAAACCGACCACAATAAAAGAATCTATATGTACCTTTATTTCCCTCTTGTAACTCTCTAGTAGTTTTCTTAATTTTATCGTACAAAAAAGTTGCTTAGAAAAGCTGTGACGATGGTGGCCATGGCCGACTTTTGTCGCAAAAAGTTGACACTTTGTGTAACGAGGCACCTAAATAGAAAATTGGGTTTTTCTGTTATTTTTTGCGGCATATACCATTCGCTACTTTGGCATGTACTCATACTATAAATAGAATATGGTATACTAAATTGTTTTGTCCTTTTATTTATTTTTTATGAAAGTTATATATATAAATTATTTTCGTTTATAATTTTTATATTTATATCTTAATCGTTGATTTTCATCAATTAAAAATTATTATTTTTATAAATCAAATTCATTAATTAATTATTAATGTGCAATAAATAATAATCATTGATTGACGAAAATCAACGATTAAGATATGATTATAAAAGATTGTAAACAAAAATAGTTTGTAACTATAACTTTTCTCTTTCTTTTAATTGATAAGTTTGTATTGTTTTGAGTAATTATGTTCTTTATTTATATTGTGTAATAAAGATTTGCAAAGAAAAATCAAATTCCTTTCCAAAGATAATTCTTCTCTATTGTTTAACACTATCATATAATATATAATAAGTAATTGATTGGTCCTATTCCAACATCGTTAATTTGAAAAAAGTTAAATTTTTTAAAAATAATAATCCGTGTATGTAGATTTATGTGAAAAATATATATTTAGTTTATGAGTTTGATGTTTGTCATTTTAAATGACACAAATTATGTTATTTTAATAGAGAGATATACATAAGGAATAGAAATCATTGGAGAGAAAGTGGTTGGTTTTTTTTTAAATTTAAATTTTAAATAAAAAATTATTATGTGTCTATCTCTCTCTTAAAATAACATAACTTTATGTCGTTTAAAATAACAAATACTTTTCCCTTAGTTTATATAACACAATTCTAAGAGGTCTTTCTTCTATATGTTACAAAAAAAAAATTAACCATTTGCATCATCCTACAAACTATTTTAGTTTATAAATTTTTATAATCATATCTTAACCGTTGATTTTCGTCAATTAACAATTATTATTTTTGTGAATTAAATTCATTAATGAATTATTAATTCGCAATAAGTAATATTGACGGAAATAACGATTAAGATATGATTACAAAAGATTATAAACGAAAACTGTTTGTACGTATAACTTTTCTCTTTCTTTTATTTGATAAGTTTGTATTGTTTTGAGTAATTATGTTCTTTATTTATATTAAGTGTAATGAAGATTTACAAAGAAAAAAAAATCCTTTCCGAAAGATAATTCTTCTAAATTTGTTCAACACTATCATATAATAAGTAATTGTTTGGTCCTATTCCAACATCGTTAATTTGAAAAAAGTTAAATTTTTAAAAAATAATAATCCGTATATGTAGATTTATGTGAAATACATATATATATATATATATATATATATCTATATATATATATATATATATATATATATATAGTTTATGGCTTTAATATTTCTAAAGTGAACGTAGATAAATTATCTATATTCACTCCCAAAACGATGTCGTTTTGGATTGAAAAATTAAAAAATTAACCATTTGCATCATTTTACAAACTATTTTCGTTTATAATTTTTTATAATCATATCTTAACCGTTGATTTTCGTCAATTACCAATTATTATTTTTATAAATCAATTTTACTAATCAATTATTAATTCACAATTAAGATATGATTATAAAAGGTTGTAAACGAAAATAGTTTGTAAGTATAACTTTTCTCTTTCTTTTAATTGATAAGTTTGTATTGTTTTGAGTAATTATGTTCTTTATTTATATTAAGTGTAATGAAGATTTGCAAAGAAAAACAAAATTTCTTTCCAAAGATAATTCTTCTCTATTGTTCAACTTCAACACTATCATATAATAAGTAATATTTTGGTTTGGTCCTATTCCAACATCGTTAATTTGAAAAAAGTTCAATTTAAAAAAAAAAATAATCCGTATATGTAGATTAATGTGAAATATATATATATATATATATATATATATATATATATATATATATATATATATATATATTAACATAATTCTAAAAGGTCTTTCTTCTACAAATGTTAAAAAAAAGCTAACTATTTGCATCATTTTACAAACTATTTACGTTTATAGATTTTTATAATCATATCATAACTGTTGATTTCTGTTAATTAACAATTATTATTTTTGTAAATTAAATTTATTTAATTATTAATTCACAATAAATAATAAGGGAAAAGTGTTTCTGCAGTTAATGCAGATAAGTTATCTGCATTTATTCTTAAAACGACGTTCTGCAGTTAATGCAGATAAGTTATCTGCATTTATTCTTAAAACGACGTCGTTTTGGGATTGAAATCTTAAAAAATTATAATATAAGGACAATTATAACCCTGAAATACATTAAAATTACAAAAACACCATGATTTCCGCCCCAAAACGACGTCGTATTAGGCTTACTGCAGATAACTTATCTGCAGTAACTGCAGAAAAAACGAACCCAAATAATAATCATTGATTGACGGAAATCAACGATCAAAATATAATTATAAAAAGTTATAAACGAAAATAGTTTGTAAATATAAATTTTCTCTTTCTTTAAATTGATAAGTTTGTATTTTTTTTTGGGAAATTACAGGGAATCGAACCGCATACCTAATACACCTTAAACACACCCAACACCACTAGGCTATCCCTAGTGGTGCATTGATAAGTTTGTATTGTTTTGAGTAATTATGTTCTTTATTTATATTAAGTGCAATGAAGATTTGCAAAGAAAAACAAAATTCCTTTCGAAAGATAAATTTTCTCTATTGTTCAACACTATCATATAATAAGTAATTGTTTGGTCCTATTCCAACATCGTTAATTTGAAAAAAGTTAAAATTTTTAAAAATAATAATCCTTATATGTAGATTTACGTGAAAAATATATATTTAGTTTATAAATATAACATAATACTAAAAGGTCTTTCTTTTTTTTGGAGGTTACAAGGAATTGAACACAACACCCTACACTACACACACTCCTAACACACACACCCTACACTAAAAGGTCTTTCTTCTATAAATGTTACAATTTTTTTTAACCATTTGCATCATTTGTTTCCAAAAATTTGAACGCGTTATCGCATCGGACCAGTTAAGTAAAAAGAGAAAAAGTAAAATAAGATAACAAAATAATATTTTCGTGGGATTTATATTATGAAATATAAAAAAATATATCATCACCCTTAATATTTACTTTTATATTTATTTATTATCAAGTTTTCTCACTCTTCATTTCTTTAATTTTCTCTTTTTCCCTTAGTAGAGTTTTTTTAATTAAAAATTTTCAAGATCCTTCTCTTATTGATTTTTCTAAATTTTGAAGCAGTAATTACTAACTCCTCTAAACTCCATTTATAGTAATAGCGGACCTATGTTATTGCACATGACTCCAAGTGCAGACAGTAGTAACTTTTGAAAAGTTTGGAATTCTTAAGTATCGACTCTCAAGTTTAGGCTTTTTGACCCTTTTACCCTTCATTAATTAATTAATAACCATTTATTCCCTTATCCAAAACTATCTATCAATATACCCCTCTTTAATCGATTAACTTGAAGATTTAATCGATTAAATGGTCAAAACTGGCAAAAATGATTGACTTGAAGATTTAATCGATTAAATATCCCTCTTAATCGATTAAATATCCCTCTTAATTGATTTAATCGATTAAAACTTATATTTAATCGATTAAATATCCCAAATAAGCATGAAAACATTGATTGAATGAGACAAACACGGTACTAGAGGTTATTTGAATTTTGAATTTAATGTAATAGGAGTTGATTGTGATTTGTATTTAATAGGAACTGATTGCGTCCTATTAAATACAAAACGCAATCAGCTCCTATTAAATACAAAACGCAATCAGCTCCTATTAAATACAAATCACAATCAACTCCTATTATATTAAATTCAAAATTCAAAATTCAAAATTCAAAATTCAAAATTCAAAATTCAAAATTTAAATAACCTCCAATACACGAAAAACTGATTGAAGATTCTGCTAAGTATTGTTATGATGAATATGCAAGACGGGAAGGGTTCGTTGTTTGCCTTGATCGTTGTCATCGTTCCAAGGTTGACAATAGGATCACTTCGCGCCGTTTTTCATATAATAAGCAAGGTTTTCATGTGAGAGGTAGAAACGGAGTCAGGCCTGTTCATGTAAATCAATTCAGTTTCCAAGAATCATTTTTCTTTTCGTGCTATTGCTAAATCAAACCATTAACAGTGTTTGCATTTGCTTATCGAAGCAAAAAGACAAAAAAACACCGTAACTACTTCAGATAGATTTTAACCATCAACCAATACATTGGAACTCAAATTCTCTCAAAGAACTGAAAGTAATTCATATTTAAAAAAAATAAAAAAAATTCTCAAT